CAGAAGTTGATCATACTCCTTATAATCGATTTGGCGCCAAAACGAGGGGGTACGCAGGGGAGATGGGGATTTGATAGTCAGTCTGTTTTCTCTCAACACTTCGGTCCGCTGTATTCCTGGCCCAAAGATCTGTCTACTGGCGCTACGCCTCCTCATACTGCCTTCTGGAACTACTTCTGCAATTCGCTGTTGCTATTTCCTGTATTTGTGTTGCACTCATAAACTGTTGTGTTATTCACTGTTCTCTACTGGACGATATACACTGAACCACCTTCAGTCAATTTATGTCGTGTCGTGCACCGTGGCGGATGATGGACAGTAGTTTCAAAAACGAAAGAGGATAAGAATGCTTCGAGCGTACAAAAAGATGGGTCTTACGATTAGATGAAAAGCAGCTCCCGCAACTCATTATTCGTTACCATTGAAGGTTTTTTATTTGGTTTGCTTTCTCAATTTGCTGCCTTTGATTGCAATCCGCAATATGGTTATCGGTGATACCGAGAGAAGAACGTGTACTACTTCACATATCAAGTACAGGGCAACGAAGCTATGCATTATAATATGGAGCCATCACATTAATTTCCTATTCTCAAATCCATCCTTCGTGATAATCCGAAAGCAAAAATCATTATTGTAAGTACGAGAAAGCTCATCTTGTGATATGAGAGTTGATAAGTTACATATGCGGGTGCTCACCTGAAAACAATAGGGATCCTGTCATCGCTATAGCTAGTTATCTCAACCTATCACGTCTGACTGTCTGGATCAGGTAGGATTACTTTATCACTTGTAGTTTCTATTCAGAAACTCTTTTACAGCAATCATAGATTCGACTTAACTTGTTAATTATTGTATTTACCTCGGAATATACCTGATTTTAAAAGCCTGCCCTCGTAAAAACATAGTCATATTATTATATGCAATGAATAGTCAGCAAGGAACAAAAGCGGTAAATACACTACAGCGTACTGTAGATTGCACTCTAAAAGAACATAGTTTTTCAAAGAAGCTTTCATTGCTTCTGCTGCTGATACGTCTTCTAGGAAGGTAGACAATATCGACGCAATAATCAATCAAATACAGTCTTTGAAAACTTTTAGAGTGAAATATCGTTAGGTGCGCAATAGATTGGACGACTAAAGTCACTCAGTTTTCCCGACTATTCCCTTCTTGTTTTCGAAATTTGTAATCGCGTTACGTCGCCTTGGCAAGAGTTGTCTCCAAATCCCTAAGGAACCCAATATTCCTAGGAGTACAGTTGCAACTGTGATCAAGAATCATTCCCAAACTGTTCTGAAGAAGAAGGTGGTACGAAATCAGGTGTTCCTGAGCGCGGCAGGCGCTGGTCAATTAATTCGGCATCGAGTTCTAAAAGGTTGCCTAAAATTTGGCTGTCGATTGCGGGATTCCGATTTGAAAGTGGACCGTGG